TAACAAAGGGGCTGAATAGTTCTAGCTTTCATGATCTTGTATTCAAGCTGGGATGGAAGACATCTATTCCTCAATTTGAGGGGGAGTATCGAGAGAGATATGTGATGTAAATAGGTTAGAAAAATAAGCAAGATATCCCTGAAATTAAAGGATTCAATTAGATAGGTTCCAGATTTAGGAATAAGTTAGTTTCCTATTATTTCTCCTTTTATATCTATATAATACCATGTATAATGAATGAAATCAATACAGAACAGTTTTTTCCTTTCCCATAATTTCTGTCACTTTGCAAACTATTAGATTCTAATTAATTGATCTCTATTCTATAATATCAAAAGATCAGTACTCAATACTAAAAAATTAAGGATAAACTAATGACACACCTTCAATCTTTTGCATAAGCTTTCTAAAACTGTGGAAATCTATGATTTAATGTCTCATTCTAGGAATTAGTTGTTACCCGATTCTTAGGAATTAGCTACAATTAGATTTATTTATTTCCTAGAATAAGAGGGATATTGGTTTTATTCACCGATTCCCTGTTTTGTATTTTTCCTTTTTTGGTTGCTTATTTTCGGGAGAAGAGTCCTTCCTCCCTTATTATTTAAGGCTGTACAATTAGTCAGAATTATCAATGAGAATTATAGAAATTCCTTTCTCAAAAACTCACATGGTATGAGAGCTCTAGGCTCATACTCTCTGAGAATTCCTTCGAACCACATTGCCATTCACAGGCCCATTCTCACGGCAGGGTTCTCTCTTTCCTTCTTCCCATATTCCCTCAGTCTTATTAGGAGACTATTCTTTCCTCAATCTTCTCTGCCCGAGTACTGCTCAATCATCTCCGAGGCAATATTTAAAACTATCCCTTCAATGACCAAATACGGAATGGCCACAGAGAAACAAACCCCATCCTCATCAGAAGTTACTTCCAGTTCTGAAATCCCCATCACCAGCAACCATGGCGGAACCGACAGTGTTCCACTTCACATAACAGGACACAAACTAAATGGGAGCAATTACCTCCAGTGGTCTCAGTCAGTCATGATGTACATCTGCGGAAAAGGAAAGGATGAGTATCTCACCGGTGAAGTCACTCCTCCAAAGGCTGAAGATCCAAAATTTAAACTCTGGAAGACTGAAAATAATATGGAGATGTCTTGGTTGGTCAATTCTATGACAAACGAGATAGGTGAGAATTTCTTGCTCTATAAATCGGCTAATGAAATCTGGAATACGGCGAAGGAACTTTATTCAAAGAAAGAAAATACCTATGAAATTTTTGAGATTGAAGCCGCTCTCCAGGATCTCAAACAAGGAGATTTAGCCGTCACTCAATACTACAACATCCTCACTCGACACTGGCAGCAACTGGATGTTTTCGAAGAACATGAATGAAGCTGCTCCGATGATGCGAAAAAATTCAGAGAATTTGTCGAAAGGAAGATAATATTTAAGTTCTTAATGGGACTCAACAAAAGCCTAGATGATGTTCGAGGGCGCATATTGGGAACAAAGCCTCTGCCAAATATTGGAGCAGTCTTCTCCGAAGTGCGCCGTGAATCAAGCAGGAAGAAAGTGATGATGGGAGAGCCTTCTGTCCATGTCGTTGTTCTTGTCACAAAGAGCTCTGCCCTTGCTACTCGAGGATTCTGAAACAACAACTATGACAATCGACCTAGGAATGAGAGACCATGGTGTGATCATTGCCGGAGACCAAAGCACACCCGAGACTTGTTGGAAGATCCACGGAAAACCTACAGATTGGAAACCTTCAAGACCTTCTCGTGACAAAGAAAGCCGAGGGAATCATGTCTCGGTGGCTGAAGGAACTAATCCCACTGATTCCAATCCATTTTGCAAGGAACTCGAAGCCTTGCAAAATATGTTCTCACAATAGAATTCTGCTCAGAGCATCATAGGAACAGGATCATTGGCACACAAAGGTAATTATCTAAGTGCTTTCACTGCAAATTCTGGTAAAACAGGTCTGTGGATTGTAGACTCAGGTGCATCTGACCATGTGACAGGAGATGCAACACTTTTCCACAAATATAATCCCTGCCGAGGAACACTTACAATAAAAATAGCATATGGGTCTTTATCTAAAGTGGCTGGAACAGGTGGAACACTTACAATAAAAATAGCATATGGGTCTTTATCTAAAGTGGCTGGGACAGGGTCTATCATTGTTTCAAATGACATAATACTAAATTCAATCCTTCATGTCCCAAACTTGGAATGTAATCTATTTTCAGTCAGCAAGCTCACTCAAGAAAATAATTGTGTTGCTAAATTTTTCTCGGACTTGTGTGAATTTCAGGATTTGGATTCAGGGAGGACGATTGGCAATGCTCAATCCTTCATGTCCCAAACTTGGACTGTAATCTATTTTCAGTCAACAAGCTCACTCAAGAAAATAATTGTGTTGCTAAATTTTTCTCGGACTTGTGTGAATTTCAGGATTTGGATTTAGGGAGGACGATTGGCAATGCTAAGGTATGCTCAGGACTTTTTTCTTCTTAAAGACGATGAACCTCCTAGAAGACAAACTCATGATGCACTATGTGTTAAGTCAAGTAGTCAGGCCAATAACAGTAATGTGTTAGCTGAAAAATTCAATAAGGATAGTGCAATAATGTTATCACTACTAGGTCATCCTATTTTTGTGTATCTTCAAAAATTGTTCCCATCTTTGCTCAAAAATAAAAATCCAAGAATGTTTCAATGTGAGGTGTGTCAATTTTCTAAGCATGATCGTAATTCCTATCAAATTCAGCCATACAAAGCATCTTATCCTTTTTCAATGATACATAGTGATGTATGAGAACCATCTAGAGTAAAGAATATCACTAGCACTAGATGGTTTATATCATTTGTAGATGATCACGCTAGGATTACATGGCTATTCCTTATGAAAGAAAAATCAGAAGTAGGACAAATCTTCAAAAATTTCAACACTATGGTTCAAACGCAATTTCAAACAAAAATACAAGTGTTGAAAACCGATAATGCAAAGGAATATTCATCAAAGTTCTTGTGTCGATACACCCCAACAAAATGGGATTGCAGAAAGAAAAAATAGACACCTCCTTGAAGTTGCTCGGTCACTTATGTTTACCCCTCATGTTCCTAAATTTCACTGGGGTGAAGCAGGATGCCTTCACTCATTTCCTAACACTCATGTCTCGTCTACTCTTCCTGTGAAAGTCTTTGGTTGTTCAGTGTTCGTCCATATCCATGCTCAACATCGGAGCAAACTTGATCCTAAGGCACTCAAATGCATATTTGTTGGTTACTCCTCAAATCAAAAAGCGTATAAATGTTATTCCCCTGTCACTCAAAAATTCTATAATTCTATGGATGTTTCTTTCTTCGAACAACAATCCTACTACAAATCTAATATTCAGTGGGAGAACTTTACTCAGGAATATCAGCTTTGGGATGATGTTGAAACCTTGGATTCGTCTCACCTCAATCTAAATAATCAAAATCTGGTTATTCAAACAAATCAAAGTCCAATGTCTGTCATTCGACCCGTCCTTGATACTCAGCCCGAATTCAATTCTCAAATAGAACTCCTATCAGTACCTCAATCAATTCAAACACCTCAGCTTTTGACTCACACACAACCTGCAACAACTAGTGAGTTCCGTGTCTACTCTAGGAGGAACAAGACTCAAGAAGGAAGAAATGCAACCACATGATTAAAGTCATGAATCCAACCCGACTCTTGAACCTCAAAATTCACCAGGTAACTCAAGTTCTCATCCTGCCCCTAGCAACTCATCTATTGATGACAGACCTATTGCCATAAGAAAAGGCATTACGTCGTGCACAAATCATCCCATCTACGCTTTTGCATCATATGGAGGATTGTCACCTAATTACCGTGCATTTGTTAGCACCCTTGATGAAATACACGTTCCGAGTTCCATACATGAAGCTATAAATGTACCTGAGTGGATGGCAGCTGTTTTGGAAGAGATTCAGGCTCTCAAAAAGAACAGGACTTGGGTGTTATTAGAGTTACCATTAGGGAAACATCCGGTTGGCTGCAAGTGGATATTCACAATCAAACATAATGCAGATGGCAGTGTTAACAGATTTAAGGCAAGGTTAGTAGATAAGGGTTTTACTCAATCTTATGCGATAGATTATGAAGAGACTTTGCCCCTGTAGCTAAACTCAATACAGTCTGAGTGTTACTCACTTGCCTCAAACCTAGATTGGCCCCTATACCAGTTGGATGTGAAAAATGCATTTCTCAATGGAGATCTAGAGGAAGAAGTCTACATGGATATACCACCTACTTGAAAAAAGAGTTTTTCAGGGAATAATTGATTTCTTTCATTGATCATCTATTTATAGGATTTACACACCATATACAAATCCTTCGAATCAGGAAAGTAATCACTGATTTAAGGAATATAGCTAATTCTAGGTAGAGAATAACTTCTGACAGCTACTTTCCTAAAATACAAAGATTGACAACTAATTAGCTAATTTATAGCTTTACAAGGATTGTTTCCAAAACAGTTTCGATCTAGAGGAAGAAGTCTACATGGATATACCACCTACTTGAAAAAAGAGTTTTTCAGGGAATAATTGATTTCTTTCATTGATCATCTATTTATAGGATTTACACACCATATACAAATCCTTCGAATCAGGAAAGTAATCACTGATTTAAGGAATATAGCTAATTCTAGGTAGAGAATAACTTCTGACAGCTACTTTCCTAAAATACAAAGATTGACAACTAATTAGCTAATTTATAGCTTTACAAGGATTGTTTCCAAAACAGTTTCGATTTTTCAACACTCCCCCTCAAGCTGGTCTAAAGATATCTTTCCATAGCCAGCTTGCCAATTAAAAAGTCAAACTGTTTTTGTATAGCCCTTTGGTGAAGACATCTGCCACTTGTTCCTCGGTAGGAATATAGGTCATACAAACCAAACCGTTATCTATATTCTCCTTAATGAAATGCTTATCCACTTCTACATGTTTCGTGCGGTCATGGAGAACTGGATTCTAGGCAATTGAAATTGCAGCCTTGTTAACCCCGACGCCTTTAATTCCTCTAGCAATCTTCTTATCCACATAATCTCACAGATGCCATGTGCCACAGCTCTAAACTTAGCCTCCGCACTACTTCTAGCGACCACGTTCTGTTTTTTGCTTCGCCATGTAACCAAGTTGCCACCTACAAATGAGCAATACCACGAGGTAGATCTTCGGTCCACTATACTTCCAGCCCAGTCTGCATCAGTGTAGGCTTCAATTTGTAAATGTCCCCGTGACTTGAACAGAAGGCCTCTACCTGGTGTCCCCTTTAGATACCGTAGAATCCTGTAAACAGCTTCAAAATGTTTTGATCCAAGTGAATGCATAAACTGACTAACCATGCTTACAGAGAATGCTATATCAGGGCGTGTATGAGATAGGTAAATCAGTCTCTCAATGAATCTCTAATAACGCTCTTTGTCCTTCACACTCTCAGCTTTTGCAGGCTGTAGCTTTACATTAGGCTCTATTGGTGTTTCAGCAGGCTTGCAACCTAACATACCCGTCTCATTAAGTAGATCAAGCACATACTTACGCTGATTTACAAAAATACCTAGCAAACTCCATTCCAAGAAAGTATTTTAATGTCCCCCAAGTCCTTGATCTCAAATTCTTCAGCGAGTCTTCCTCTTAACTTCTCTAGTTCACTATAATCATCTCCAGTTAGCACTATATCATCCACATACACAATTAAGACGGCCACTTTCCCTTCCTTTGAATGTTTGTAGAACATAGTGTGATCAACTTGACTTTGAGTGTATCCATAACGCTTTATCACCTTACCAAAAGCGTTCAAACCAAGCTCTAGGGGACTGCTTGAGTCCGTATAAGGACTTCTTCAGTTTGCACACTTTCCCAGCTCCAAAACTTTCTTCGAAACCTGGTGGCAGACTCATGAACACTTCCTCCTCTAGGTCTCCATTAAGGAAGGCATTTTTAACGTCCAATTGATGTAAGGGCCAATTGGAATTTACTGCAAGGGACAACAAAACTATAATTGAGTTTATTTTACTCTTTATTTATTGTGAAGACCCATTTACACCCAACAACTTTTTTTCCTCTCGGTAATTCTACAATCTCCCAAGTACCATTCTTCCTCAAGGCATTCATTTCCTCAAACACTGCCAATTGCCAACTCGGTTCATCTAGTGCTTCCTGAATGTTTCTAGGCACCACAAAGTTTGAAATATTTGTAGTGAACGCTCTATAGCTGCTAGAAAGGTTATTGTAGGAAATATATTTGGCAATAGGATGCTTAGTGCACGTGCGGGTTCCTTTTCTAAGGGCAATGGGAAGATCAAGGTCAAGGACCTATGTAGGAATTTCTGGAGCTAATTCTAAACAAGGTTCGGGTGCAAATATTTCAGAATTAGGATTAGAGTGTAATGGCAAAGAATGAGTAGGAATAGACGAAGAATTACCTGAGACACTTGGAAGGCCATCACCCAGGGCTTCCGTTTGACCATGTGTTAGGATGATTAATTGGTCTTTACATCTTCTAGGGATATTCTTCCTTGTATAAACCACAGGCTCAAGATTGCTACGATTTTTTTTCATTCGTAGTATTTCTTTTTCTGACAGACCAGTCATATCAGATTCAGATTTAGTGGGTTTAGTTTCCTTATTTTCTTTTTCCATTGATTTAAGAGAGATCAAGAATCAGATGAGGTAAGGGTTCAGCAATTTCCCAAAAATTTGGTTCAAAAGTTCTCCCCTTGAAGTAAATTTTTGGTAAAATATGGGGTTTTTTTCATAAAAGAGACATCCATAGTTGTGTGTAAAACCGTTTTGTAAGGGGATTAAAAAACTTGTAACCCTTTTATTAGGAGTATATCCTACAAAAACGCATTTTTCTGCTCTTGGGTCTAACTTAGATCGTGACCTTTTTGGAAGGTGAACATATGCAACACAACCAAATATTTTCCAAGGTGATTCAGAATTAATTCGAGAATCTGGAAATACCTTTTTGACACTCCAGCGGGGTAGTGTACTGTAAAACTTTTGTGGGCATCCTGTTGATTCTAATATGATGCAGTTACTATGGCATCCCCCCATAAGTATTTTGGAATATTCATGTAAAAACATCATAGCTCGGGCTACTTCTAACAGGTGCTTATTTTTGCGTTCAGCTATTCCGTTTTGTTCAGGAGTATCTGAACATGATGATTGATGTAAAATACCTTTTTCTTTTAAGGTTTCCAAAAACTTTATTAAAATATTCCGTTCCATTATCATATCTCAAAATGCTGATTTTTGTTTGTCTTCCAATGATTCTCCCCCTTACCTCATCAAACTCAACATTGAGGCCAGCCAAGAATTTGAAAATATGATTATACTCCACAGTCTTCTTATGATGGTGTCTATCCTTGGCAAATTTCCACTCATAGGTATTGAAGAGGTCCAGATCTTGCCAAATTTACTTCAAAGAATTGAAGTATTTTGTGACATTGTCCTCCCCTTGCCGAATTTCACCGAGTTTGAGAGTCAATTCAAAGATCTGAGATTGATTCCCTAAATCAGAATACATCTGATTTACATTTTCCCAAAGCTCTTGTGCCGTTGGATAGCATTGTAATTAGAGCTAATGTCTTCTTCCATAGAGTTCACGAGCCATGTCATCACCATGGAATTCTCAGCGTCCCATGTAGCATAGTCCGGATCATCCCTCTGCATGAGCCTTCTTGTCACCCGTCAGGTAGCCCATCTTTCCACGTACTCTTATGTACATCCGAACTGATTGAGACCATCTTAGAAAATTGTCACCATTCAATCGAATTGTGGTGATTTGGACAGAACGGGATTCCGAGGTGGTTGTACTGATTTTTGTGGAATCAGTGGTGGTGGGATTGTTCAAAGATGATTGAGGAACAGTTGGCGATTCATTTGAAATGTCTGACATGGTGATAGAAAGAGCAGAGGATCGAATAAGAGGAAGAAGGATTACAGCAAGCAATTTGCTCGCTCTGATACCAACTTGAAAAATGAGTTTTTCAAGGAATAATTGATTTCTTTCATTGATCATCTATTTATAGGATTTACACACCATATACAAATCCTTCGAATCAAGAAAGTAATCACTGATTTAAGGAATATAGCTAATTCTAGGTAGAGAATAACTTCTGACAGCTACTTTCTTAAAATACAAAGATTGACAACTAATTAGATAATTTACAGCTTTACAAGGATTGTTTCCAAAACAGTTTTGATTTTCCAACACACCTGGGTTTACCAGCCACGATGAACAAGGTTTGCAAACTCAAGAAGTCTTTGTATGGACTAAAACAGTCACCGCGTGCTTCGTTTGACAGGTTCACTAGGGCAATTAAGAAGTTTGGGTAAAAAGGGCAATACTAATTGTGTATGTTGATGATATCATCCTAACCGGAGATTATGATGAAGAGATACTCAGGCTCAAGAATTTGAGATCAAGGACTTGGGCAGTCTAAGTACTTCCTTGGCATGGAAGTCGCTCGATCGAAAAGAGGCATTTCAGTTTCACAACGGAAGTATGTGTTGGACCTCTTGGAAGACACAGGGATGCTCGGATGCAAGCCAGCTGACACTCCTATGGACCCAAACTCAAAACTGGGAAGTAAGATTGACAGCACTCCAGTTGACAAAGGGAGTTACCAAAGATTGGTTGTCGTTTATCTCTCACATACCCGACCAGATATTAGCTTTGCTGTAAGTGTGGCTAGTCAGTTCATAAACAATCCAACAGAAGATCACATGGAAGCTGCATACAGGATTCTATGGTACTTAAAGATGACACCGAGTCAAGGATTGTTCTTCAAAAAGACAGCAAAGAAAGAAGTTGAGATCTTCACTGATGTAGATTGGGCTGGGTCAATAACTGACAGACGATCAGGTTGGGAAAATCTAGTCACTTAGAGAAGAAACTATCAGTAGTTTCTCAAAGCAGTGCAGAAGCAGAGTTCAGAGCTCTTGCACTTGGCATTTGTGAGGGAATATGGTTGAAAAGGATGCTTTGTGAACTAAAATTTTCAGTATCAGAACCTATGAAAGTTTAATGTGATAATCAGTCTACAATCAGCATAGCAAAAAACCCAACCATTCAACAGATTGCAGACATCCTAACAAAAGCTGTTCAAAGGAAGACCTTCGAGGATCTTATTTCCAAGCTTGGTTTAATCAACATCTACAACCAAGCTTAAAGGGGAGTGTGGAAATCTATGATTTAATGTATGATTTCTAGGAATTATCTGTTACCCGATTCTTAAGAATTAGCTATAATTAGATTTATTTGTTTCCTTAAGAGGGATATTGGTTTTATTCACCGATTCCCTGTTTTGTATTTTTCCTATTTTGGTTGCTTATTTTCGGAAAAAGAGTCCTTCTTCCCTTATTATTTAAGGCTATACAATTAATCAGAATTATCAATAAGAATTATAGAAATTCCTTTCTCAAAAACTCACAAAAACCTCATTCACTAGTACATCCTTTAAATCAGCATCTACAAAAATATATGAAAGTGATTAATCCTAAAAATCAGCCTCTATCCGATGATGCAACACAAGTTCAAGCATGTTTAAATGCAAACCCAATTAAACTCTTGTATATGTAATAAAATTTCTAGTTTTCAAACCAAAGCCACAAATTGAACCATCAAAGTTTCTGTTAGGATCCGTTAATGACTTGGGAACTTGTTTGCTTAGTGGGCTGGTAGAGTTAGTAGGAATTAGTATAAATAAAGGACTTAATAGCTCACTAGAGGTAGGTTGTGATTTTGAGAGTTTTGGGAGATTGAGATTAGAGAGAGTTGGTGGTCTCTCGAATACCATCGAAGTTAGGAGTTCTCCGGAGTCCTCAAATACTCCAACCTATCCTAAGCTTTCTTTACATTTTTCTTAGTTTGGTTGTAAAATTCTATGAGCTAGTGTTGGTGATGATCAATAAAACCACGCTGATTGCCTACTATTCTTGTTGTTCTATGAGAAAATTGAGTTGGTATCACAGGTTCCTAACATTTTGGTTGAAAAATTCTATGAGCTAGTGTTGGTGATGATCAATAAAACCACTCTGATTGCCTTCCATGCTTGTTGTTCTGTGTGAAAATTGAGCTGGTACCACAGGTTCCTAACATTTTGGTTGTAAAATTCTATGAGCTAGTGTTGGTGATGATCAATAAAACCACTCTGATTGCCTTCCATGCTTGTTGTTCTGTGTGAAAATTGAGCTGGTACCACAGGTTCCTAACATTTTGGTTGTAAAATTCTATGAGCTAGTATTGTGATGAACAATAAAACCACTCTGATTGCCTTCTATTCTTGTTGTTCTGTGTGAAAATTGAGCTGGTATCACACGCTCCTAACATTTTGGT